AAAACAACAGGGCATGTGCCACTGTGTCAATTTAATTAATACTGAAGCATTCCAATGTTGTGTTGAATTAATTTTAAAGAAATCAATTCTCATTGGTCCACAGCATATGGTAAAAATAAATATTATGAAATTGAAAATATCTGCTGGGCCAAAGTTACACAGGTGAGCATTGTATCCCATGGGGCTCTGTTGAAAATGCTAGTGCTAGAAACCTCCCAAAGATTTTGTCTGATTTCAGTATAACTCTTCTTTATTAAGAAGACTTCATCAAAATATTTGTATTTGGGACCATTGGTTATGTTTTTGAGCTCACCTTGATGAAGGGGGGGAGATACCTATTGAAATATGGTTACAGCAAAAACTTCAACCTTGCTCATAACTTTTGAGTGGATGGGGCTACGGCTTGCATACTGGTATTTCACAGGTGTATTCCTTGTGAGAAAACCTTTCTTTGAATTTTTTCTTGACCTTGGAATTTGACCTACAACTACAAAAAAATTATCACACTTTAAATATGGTCATATCTTTCGAACAGTTGAAGGTAGGGCTTTCATACTTCACTTGTCTATTCAATGTGACAAGACCTTTCAGTGGATATAAATATTTTTTGACCTTTTGACCTTAGAGTTTGACCCACTTTTTAAAAACTTTGACTTTGGTGATAACTTTTAAACAGTTCGAACTAGGGCTTTCATATTTCACTGGTGTATTCCTTGCGACAAGACCTTTCTTTGAGTACCGACAATTTGGACTTTCTGACCTTGACCTTTGGAGCTTGACATGGATTTGAGAAAATTCAACCAACACCATAAGCTGCCAAATTGGGACATCGGTATTTTTCTCTTACAAAATCACACATTCAATGTCAAGTATTGAAAAAAACTGGCTCATTTTTCTACTGATTTCTTTTCTTGAGAGTACCGGTAATTTAAAACAAATTTTGACACTAGTATTAACTTTTTTATGAATGAAAAATCACTCATTTCAAATTTATCATGATGCTACATGTAGATTGACCATTTTACAAAAAGTTATTTTTAAATCAAACACCCGAAGCTTTATATCCCAGTATAAGGTTTTGCTTGCCTGAGATGTTATGAAAAGCTATTGATCTCAATTCTCTTTGCATTAAAGTAAGAGAAAATGTTCTGCATATATTTTCTAGAGTAAATGCAAAGAAACATTTCTCTCACGACACTTTCATAGAATATTGCATCAATTTCATAAAACTAAAACATAAAACAAGACTAGAAACTTGTCACCCGGAGCCACCTGACTCCAGTCTTCAGAATATTGCCGTCAATAAAGCCTGACTTAAAGCAGCTTTTAATGTCCTCATCAATACTTAGTCACACGTATGTAAACTTTGGGACAATTTCTCTCCAGTGTACACATCCTTTTTTGTTGGACCGCTGAGCCAAGAAAATTACGATCAATTTGTTTAAATGCAGTTGACACCAAGTATTGATGTGACACAACTGTTAAAAGTGTTGTGTTCAAACATTTCATTGATCACATTATTGGTATTCCCTTTGCATGCATTGTGGACAATAATGGGACATTTTACTCTGTCAACTCTAAGTATGCATTAAATTGGGAGCACACATTTTTTGTGTATTCATTGATGTTTAAAAAGCTATTTGACTTTATATATGTTCCCAGGTGTTTTCTTATGAAATGTTTAGTAGCTTTTATCTGCTTCAAGTTTTCTCCATTGAGAGAAGTGGTAAGGTATGTAGGCTTTGCTAAGTAATGTTAGAAAAAATTACATTTTCTTGTAAGATTAAAAAATCATATATTTTGTTTGAATGGTAATAATGCAGTGCTAAGAGAGATGTTATTTTGGATAAACTTTTTTGTATTTTATTTGGAATAAGTTTCATTTGAAATAAAGGAGAAAATGAAAGAAATGTCAGGAAAAAAAGTCAATCACAAGAAATGTTAAACCAAACCAGTAAAGGTCATGTCTAATACTGAAATTGAGCAAATTAAGGTAAGTCGACTCGGGGTAATCCGTAGCTGATATTTTTAAGATAACTGATTAAATCAAAGAACTAATGATCAATGAAAAATATTGGTTTAATGCTTAATTGATTGACTAAATTATCTGTAAAATAACCAAGCAATTAAATAGAAGTGAGAGAAACTAGCATGATTGTCTCGGATTGATTAAGTGAGGACAGCGTCAGAATTAGAGAGATCACGACCGAGTCTTTGTCGGAGAACTAGGGATTCTCAGGGCTTTCTTTTTCTCCTGTCTCCTTATAGGACTTAATGGGAGGTATTATTAGGTAAAAGCTTCATTGCAAAAAAATTTATAAAAAATAATAATAATTAAAAAAAGGGATGTTAAATAAATAAAAAATAAATGAATATTAGAGGTTTATTTTTTTTTTATAAAGAATCGAGTATCATGTTCAAGTATGAAATAGAATTAAGCTCGGTCTTTAAATGATTCTCAGAGCTGAGGAGTAAAAGTGTATATGTTGATGTAATTTATTTTTGTTGTGCCCTCAATAAGTGATAATGAGAAATAATGCAATTAACATATCTTTACTTACCATTATCATAGAGATAATAAATTGAGAAGCATAATGAGTTTTACACCAGGGTGCTAATCTGTCATTTCTATCTGGTGATCATGCTCATACACTCACTCAAAGCCGAGGCAGCAAAACAGTCTTTTATCTTATCATCAGCTAGGGCTACTGAAGAGAGGAAGAAAATTTCATATAAATTCTCCACTATCATCTTCTCTTAACCAAAAATCTGATGATCATCTCTTTACAGATTTACAGCTCTGCCATAAATTAACAGTTGTGGTTCTTTGTGTTGGCTTACTACAATATAACTCTTAAATTTGTTTGAATCTTTGAAATATATTTTTGAAACAGAAGTTTCACTTAGTTTAAAGTAAAAGTTAGTTCTTTATAATAAATTTATTATATTGGGTGCAAACGGTTTGTTTAATTATTAACAGTCATGTGGAATTGGTCTTCCTATGAGTAATGCTTGCTACAGTTAGTAAGCCCACTGTCAAGCTACAGTACAAGATGTGGTCACTTTATTATGCTAAGAATTAACCAATCAAAGACATCACATGGGAACAAATTAGCACCTCCCTGTCCAGTGTTACTTTCCTTTAGTGTGCCTCATGGTGAGTCCCTGGGGGGAATGCCCTGGGTGGTAGCATTGACAATAAACACCTCAGTAACACAACACACAATATCTCCCACCTAATCCAGCATCTTAGATCCCAGACATCCCACGGGGAAAGAACAGGACCTTTATCAGTATACAGTTACTTATCCTACCTATAGGCCCCCCTCTGCTGGCCCCAGGTTCTGTCCCTAGGGTGACCTACTGGGCTGTAACAGGATCATCTCTGTGGGTTGATATGTTACAGATTATCCCTGTCTCCATCACTTGACCAGTACTGGAGAATACAGATGTGGACGACTTTGATGCTGCCTTGATTCTTCCTATGTTGATTGACTATTTGAGACAAGGAACCTTTATATGAATCCACAGACAGACAAACAGTCACCACATCTTTGTCCTTGACTGTCACTATTCAAGGACACCCTGCAGGTTATGTACAGTAAGTAAATTAAATACTTTTCCAATTTTTAATAGAATTTTGTACTAGTATTTTAAAATTTTATTCGTCTCACTGTTAATTTTTTTTTCTATTTTAACTTGAAATGTAATTAAAAAGTAATTTTGTCTTTGATTTATAAAACCATTCCTTACAATGCCCCCATGAGACCGTTGCAGGAGAAAGTCTGATCAAAGAGACAGAGTTAATCAAATCAGTATGGATTTGATAGGAAAGACATGACAATTTGACTTATCACAAGACAATTCGTGACAGATGTCCTACACAGGTAGATCACAGCCCCAAATTACCTTCCTAGTCATTCATTATTGATATTTAATTAGGTTACATTCCCAACAATGACTCAATAATTAATCAGAAAAGAAAATTGTTTTATGGTGAAGATGTCTCCTTTATCCATATTAAAACATTATGGCGTGCAAAATGTGACAATTTTTATTGGCCAATCCAATCTTGCAGTGGATCGGATGTCTTTTGGAATGGAAATGTCTTCCAGTCCATAGATCAATATTGTCTTTTTACTGTTTTTATGTTTGTGATACTTTTTTTTCCAGAAAATTTTGTTTTGAAATGCTGATTAGAGAACTAGTTGTTGCTTTTTGTTTTTACAGAGAAATTCTCGATGGTTGCTTTAGATTTTAAGAATTATTTTTTTTCCCTTTGAGTGTTGGAATGTGATAAATGTCAAATAATACTGGTAAAAAATTGATCTTTGATCCAGGTTTATTACACGCTAATTGAATAAATGTTGTTCTTTTTATTGTTCCATATCAACAACCTATAAATTATTAATAAGGTCCAAATGATAGGCTTTCTGTTCACTCTTGACAGAATAAAATCAGCAAAATTCAAGTTTAAAATATAAAATATCTTCAACATTCTTTAAAATGCAATATGAGTTTTTTTTTAAAAAAAAGCATCTTGAGTTTTAGTTGTAGCATATTGAATTGGACAGCAATGATAGAATCGGGTAAATTATGACATTTTTTTGGCTTCAGTGCTGCAAGCAATTTAATTAAGGGCCTATTGAATTATTAATTTTTGCTAAGACAAGTGTTGTTTGTAAAGTGTCATGCAGGTTGTAATTTGGGTTAGAAGTGGTGTTGATCACTTGTTCCAAGGTCCCATGGGTGTTATCCAAAAGGGTCAGAGAAATGGTGAATAGAATAGTAATGTCCATCTGGACAGAGCAGGACAATAAAGCTGGCCAGTCTCTTCTGTCAAGGACACTGGCTAATTGGGCCAAAATAGGTAGATAGAAGACAGCCAATATTACCCTGCCAAGGTTCTCATTTTATTCTGCATTACATTTTATTCCGTGACATAATCATATATATTTTTGAAAATCAGTGATAAGTACACATTTTGCAGAATTAATATTTTATCCTGTAGTTTGATACATCAAGTTTTTTGCACCAAGAACTTTTTTCCCTGTTACTGCTCCATTTGTTTCGGCTCTTCTTAGTTTGTTTGCTTGTCTTAGTATAATTGCCTTCAGAAACTGACCACCTTGAATTTTTGGCTATTACTTTCCCCTGCCTTCCTCAATCATTGGGCAATATGAACAACCTGCATGCCATTCATCACTGTCTTTTTTTTTCTTCAAAATGTTAATCACACATGGCTTTGCAATATAACTAAAAACGAGCTTTAGGATAAGTGAAAATGAAAAATCATGCAGTCTCTATAATTTTTTTCATCATTAGTTGACTAGATTCACTTAATTATGATACCTTTACTATTTTCAAAGTGAAGTCTTTTATGTTTATCAGTTTATTTTGCTATATCTTTGTCTGGACAACTTTTAAAGTCACATTTGTGACAAATATCTTTCAGTATTGTGGTTAAACAATTGTGTTTTTCTTTGAAATATTAAGTTGCTGATGGTGATTTCCTGCCATTAGAGACAAGAGAAACAACTGCATCCAAGCAAACACATCCACCAAATGCGCCACGGCACTTCTAAACTTTGACTGGTTTTAACCTCTTGAAAAGTCGCAAACTGATGCTGGCTTGTTTATGTTGGAGATAAATTGACAGTAAGGAACATCTTGTTCCTCTGTCAGCTGTGATGCCAGCTAGCCTAAATTTGGGGTGTTTTTGGTTCCTTTCCAGAAAGTCGTCTGCTGTGTAACCATCCCTTGCTCTCCACACAGATAGCCAGAAAAAATACGCTGTGACTTCTTCTTCACACAGCCACGACCAGAGACGAGGAAACAACCTAGGGGATTCTGGGACTTTCTGGACAGTCCAGAGGACACTTTGTTATGGTCGTTGTTCTCAGATAATGAAACCCTTGGAGGTAAGGCAGAATTTTTTATTTTTTAATTGGAAAAGGAAATTTTTTGAAGTCATCAAAAATTTTAAAATGTCACAAATTTTTTTTTTCTTTTCAATTATTTATTGAATGTAAACTTTTAAATTAAGTTTAGTTCAATTTATTGTAAGAGAAGTTATTTAGAGAAAGTTTTACTCAACTTGAATGAATTTACTTAAATGACCATCTTGTGTCAATGATGAGGGGATGATTAATTTCCTCTGACATAAATCACATTGAGGATTCCAACTCTCACATTCAGTAATTTCAGCAATAATTACATCCATACTTCTCGAAAATATGAAAATAAGATTTTTTATACAGGAAGGTAAGAAAAAAAAATGAAGATCTGATCAAACAAAACAGATGTTGATGTATGACATTGGGGCTTCCTCTCATTGGTAGATTCTGTGATGGAATGTTCTATTTATAGCCCATCCGGCTCTTCTTCATTCACAAAGGAAGGTTCATCCTTGGAGGGATTACTAAGGGGGCATATCATTTTTATGAATGAAAATTTATCATTTCAAGTTCAAAAAAAAGTTTTTGAGTGAAATTATCTGTTTTTGTTCATTTTAATTTTCACTTAAAAGAGAATTATTATTTGTTTAATTTATATGTAGTCTTTCAAGGGTTTGGATGATACTGAAAAGAAATTGAACAATACATGTCATTGTTGCTCCTAATGGTTTTAAGTCGATGGCTCAGAATATTGCTAATGAGGGGTGAATAGGATGGCCTGCTAAATGGTGGAGCAGGATAAATAGGAAATTATTAAGTTTCTGAATGTGGTTTTTATGTCCTTTTCAAAAAAAAAGGAACTGAAACTGAAAGAAAGATGTATTAACCACATTGTAAAATTTCATTTATCTCCCATATTAATCTAAAAAAAAAAATATTTCTCCAAGTTTTCAATTTTTCAAAGATCTTTCCTAATAGTTGATTTATTTTGGGATATTAAAGAAAAATTAAAAAGTAATTTCCAAGGGGTTTAACTAGGAATTTCCTAATCTGTCACATTGTGTTGAAAATAATAGCTTCCAAAGTAAATTAAACCAAAGGTTTTGTTAGAAAGGATGACTTGTAAATCTCATAAGACACAATGTTTTAGTTCAGTTTGAGATTTTAGTTTGTCATTATCTCCCCATCGAAAAAATTGACTAGAGCTGATGACACATTGAGTTATGTGACGTCTTTCGAGATTTTTTGTTGTATCTCTGTAGATTGCCTCTGAAATGTAATTCCCTCACTCATTTCTATCTCGGTGTTAATGACATTTCCAAAAAAAAGATAAAACCCTAAGATCTCAATATTGTCTTTATGTCACAAGGCACATTCCTCGTTCTAAGCTTTTAATTTGTGGCTAATCCCAGGACAGTTTCAAATTTGTGACTCTATGGTGCTGACAGAATAAGGGGGGCCCTAGGGATATTAAATCGAGAATATGAAACTTTTAAATAACATTTCAAACACTCAAAAGAACCTCTTTCCTGTCACATAGATTAATCGCCTACGGAAATCAATTCCTACAAATCATATTGGCCCATGTTGGTTTCCAGAAATATGACAGATCGCAAGAGGGGAGATTTGGAGAGGACAATGAGTCGGAGAAGGCTATTGAATCTAGTCGCCATCCTTGATAGAAGGAGAGGGTAGAAAATCTATGTCCTGGTCACCAAACAAGTTGATGATTTAGCGCAAAATCAATGTCACTGAATAGCTTAATTCTACGGCACGGGGGACATTGAATGGATTGGTATTGGAATCATTGGGGGACGTATAATTGTACTGTATGACAAATCTATCAGGGCACTTAGCGACAATAATCCCTCAAAAATGCTTCATTCACTACAGAGTTTATTTTAGGATTGATTTACAGGGTGTATAAAGTGATTAAATCAAGAATATTGATATTAGTTAAGTAAAAAGTGAATCAGATTAAAGTGACAGTTTTAATTTCTGCTTGTTGAATTGTCACAGTACTATTCATTCCTTTCATTAAAAAAAAATGACAATCAGATTCAAACACATTAGTGGAAGAATAAAGATGTCTCTAATTGAAATTCATGAAGAAATCTGTATTAATCTATGAAGTTTTGATTCATGTGATTCATGGCATGAGATGGATTTTTTCTGTGAAAATTAAAACAATTGGAAACTCCAAAGATACATGTATATTTTTCTTATTATAAAAATAAATAAAGAAATGGTTATGGGTAACTCATGTATCCTTTCGTTTTAATTCTGATGGTTTGGTTCAAAAGCAGGAAATGATCGTGTAGTTCAGAGTTTTATTTTTACTAGGCTGTGAGGGTCCTATCTTTAAATGTAATTCTAGCGTTTTTTTCTCCGTTTGATGTGTGAGATTGGTGTAGATCGGCACAAAGACAGGCTACCTAAAGCTGTGATAACATTTGATCTGGTCCCAGGGTTATGTTACAGAATATGTTGTGAAAGGTTTGGTGTCTGTTTTATAAATCAGCATTAAAAAAAAGTAATCTGGAGAATGTATGGTAGATAGAAAATGTAGGGGAGATAATTCATAAGCCATTAGGTAGATTAAACTCAGTAACTAGAGAGTTATGTTACATGACAAAGTCATAAAAAAATAATAATGTTGAGAGAAAATATTTTGGGGAAAAAATCAAATATTGGAACAATTGGAGGCCTGCACTAGAAAGTTAAAAGTTTAAAACAATTAAACGGAGGATAAAACTATGAGAAACATTAAATGACAAAAGAGCACATAGATTTGGGAGAAAGCAGGGTTCCCAATTTCCTATAGCTGGAGTCTATTACTGTAGCAACATGAGGGTAATTAGCAGGTATCGTCTTCACCTGAGACTTGGGCAAGATTTCATTTTATCTTGTGTCCCGAACTTTTCAGTTTTATTGAAAACACCAATTCTCTGACGCATATTGCCATGCCAACAGATGATTTCAATAAAACACAATGATACATGTTTTTGATTCCATTTCAAGTTTGGCTGAAAAATCGTCTCTTAGAGACAGAGCTGACGGTGTACTTCTAATTATTCAAAGATTTGAAACCCAGCAATTTGGGTGATTATACATAGTGAATCCTGATTGATTGTAAAGGGAAAAAAGCTTAAGTGCTAGAGCGAGACCTGTTCCCCCTATATTGCAGGTCATTGTGTCAAAGAACATTCAAAAGATGAAGAGAAAGAACATCAAAACTTTTCTAAGAAGTTGATGGCAAGACTCCCTAGTCTGCCGTTTTTGTAAAGATTTCAATAGATATTATCCTGGTTGATGAAATTGGCGGAATATGAAAGAGTAAGAGGCAAAGACTAGATAGAACTAATGATGAAAATTAAACTGTCGTATAAAATTTTGTATGATATCACAGATGAAAAGACCAGGCTTATTGGTAACACACGCCTTCAAGAAAAGTTTCACCGAGGCTCTGAAATTAAGTCTCGTCATTAACCAGGACATTTTTTTTTTCACTTGAAAAATGAAAGTTACTTGCACAAGTTGAACTCATTATATCCTTGTGTATAATTTTGTAAAAAAGTTGAGAGATAATGTACTTCTGTTGTCATCACTGAACATAACTCTTATAATGCAGAAACTGGCTTAGAAGATAATGGTTATAGATAATCCAGTGATGAAAACAGATTATCAAGGGAAAAATGATTGTTACTTAAGAAACAATGTCAAGGAAATTATCTTCACAATTTTATTTGAAACTTTTAAGATCTAATACTTGTACACAAAGTGCCAAAATTGTTCTTAAAGAAAACAAACCTCTTCTGGGATTCAAAGCAATATATTAATGTGCTGATTGATTTACACTGGGAACTCCCAATATTTTTAAATCAAGATTAGTAATAAATATGGTAGATTAAAAATAGTCAGAAAAATTGTCTTCCAGATAAATTAATACAGTAGCTTGGCTAATATTTGACAAATCTGAACATACAATGCCCAAAATAACTCGAGAGATAGCTGAATCCGAAGATGGTGCATTTTCTTGCCAAAGTCTAATTGAAATTGATTGTCACAAGAGAGGCTCATTTTAGGCAAACATCTCATTTATTTTCAATGAAAAAGTCTGGAAAACTAAGCAAAGTGTCATATCAGTGATATCATTGTGCATTTCATTGCAACTTCTCATACGACACCAAATTCGTGGTAATTGGGTTCGCTTGTACAATATTGATGTAACATTGCGTGTGTAAGGACATCAGTGAGTTTTTATCGGATGTCTCTGATTGGTCATAAAAGAAGCCTCGAGTCAGAGAAAACTACCAACAGCTCCTGTGATATACTGAGGATCCCTCTACTCCATTGCCAAAATACAGACCCATCCTCCACATAAGGAAAAATTAGCCCAAAGCCTTTGACACATTTCCTTTCTTGGAATAATAAATAATGCTATTTTCTGATATAAAATAGAGACCTCAGAGGCAAGATTTTGTAATATTAAATTGTGAGTTTCTGACGTATAGTGTATCTAGGTGGAGTTTTGTCACACAATTGGTAGACAATTTGCTTTAATATTGCATAACTATGGTAAAGTCCCTAAGAGAGTTAGCCACTGTATACAATGCTAAGATGTATAGGCTATTTTCCAATGAGGGGATTGCTACCATACATGCATAAAATCAGTTTTTATGCGCCCGAATTTTTTCGGGGCGCATATTGTTTTTGTCCTGTCTGTTTGTCTGTTTGTCTGTTTATCTGTTTGTCTGTTTGTCTGTTGTCAACTTTAACCTTCGCCAAAACTTTTGAACCGTAAGAGATAGAGACTTCATATTTGGTATGCATACTCCTCTAATAAAGTTCTTTCAAATGACATCAAGGTCAATGACCTTGTGACCTTGACTGTGACCTATATGCTAAAAATAGCTTTTTCCACTGTTTGCCATAACTTTTGAACCATAGGAGATAGGGACTTCATATTTAATGCATACTCCTCTAATAAAGTTCTTTCAAATGACATCAAGGTCAATGACCTTGTGACCTTGACTGTGACCTATATGCTAAAAATTGCTTTTTCAACTGTTTGTCATAACTTTTAAACCATAAGAGATAGAGACCTCATATTTAGTATGCATACTCCTCTAATAAAGTTCCTTCAAATGACATCAAGGTCAATGACCTTGTACCTTGACTGTGACCTACGGTATATGCTAAAAATAGCACTTTTTGCCATAACTTTTTATGAGATAGGGACTTCTTATTTAGTATGCATACTCCTCTAATGAAGTTCTTTCAATCAACACCAAGGTTAATGACCATGTGACCTTGACTGTGACCTATATGCTAAAAATAGCTTTTTCCACTTTTTGCCATAACTTTTGAACCATAGGAGATAGGGACTTCATATTTAGTATGCATACCCCACTAATTAAGTTCTTACAAACAACACCAAGGTCAATGACCTTGTGACCTTGACTGTGACGTATATGCTAAAAATAGCTTTTTCGAACTTTGTTGACGCCAGGCGCATAGTGTTTCACAAACACATCTTGTTATTATTACATTTAACATCTTATTGTTTTGAGGGTTTTTTGTACATTGATTTGTTAAGGATTAATATGACTGAAAAAATAATTTAAAAAAAAAAGAAAATAAAAAATTAAAAAAACAAAAAAAAAGACCATTAAAAGAAATATTAAAGTATTTCACTGATAAACTAGAAATTAAAATAGCATAAAAGGACCATTCCACCAAGGAGAATGAAACTTTAGAACAAATGAGGAGGCCTTTGTTTTTGACATTGATAATGGTTATGGTATCACCCTCAGAGGAGCAAAGTTACACCCTCCTGCTGGCCCAGTGTGCCATATGAGATATAGTCTTTGAGAGGAAGAGAGGAGATAATTATGTGACTTCTCCACATTAATATAGAATTAATGAGGTCTCAGGCTTCTCCCCCACAGCTGTTTGGGGTTTTTGTGGGAGGAAATACAATATGGCTACCTAACTTGTGCATCCCTTTCTTAAGGAGTCCCATAAAACACAACTTCCTGTGCAAGTTACAAAAACAGTTTCTTGGTGGAAGGTAATTATTTAATTGTGATATAGAATTAGGCACTGGAATGAAGAAAGTTTCAAAACACAAATTGATTACAGTGGAAATCTTAATTATTCACAGTAGCACTACTTTCATAATGTGATGTGAAAGCTTCCCTGTTTTTTGGTTTTTAACCCATAAATTCTTGACAGGACTACTGACTAAAAGTATTTCTTCAGAATCCCAACTGTCACTCCTAATTGTCCAACATTCCTCTAAATAAACCCTGCAAAGTTTCAATCAGAGAGAATTCAGAGATGCGTTCTGTGTAGGTAGAAAATTGAAATCTGGCAAATTGAAGCTGAATACTTAGGGGGCATGTGTGCAAGGACATGGTGCCAAATTTGACCTCATTAAAAATGTCTTAGAGGAGAGACAATGCTTGCCAATTTTTAAAATAACTTATTTTTCTAAAAGTAAAATTGTCATTTTTACTGCAGTTTTAAAGCTAAAGAATCAATGATACTTAAAATGAATTTTAGTCAGTTATTCAGATTCATTACCACAGTTTACCAATTGACATTAATTAAGAAAAAAATGGAATTATTTTGGTTGCACTGAAGAGGGTTGTTTGATTTTAATTTTCTTTGAAGTAATTCAAAACTTCTAGAATTGATTAAAGGAAATAAATTTATACAACTGTGTATGGGCCGCGATTGTCAACCCTAACAACTAATTAAGGGGGTCTCCCGACAAGAAGAAGTATCTAAAGCCATATTCTTTAATTATTTCCAGAGAAAAAATGTCAACATATTGGGAAATGACAATAGAAAAATTGAAGTTATTTGATCTGGTTTAAATTGCAGACAACTTTGTCTCATCAATTGTTAATGCTATGCCTTCTGTATGCCACTTTGACTGCTAAAGCCTGCCTAAATCATTGCGATAATTTATTCCAAATCCATCAATTCCATTGGACTAGGAGGTTCCATTCAACATCTTAAATGTTTTTTCTGTAATATTAACAAAGTGTGCTGGAATATGAGCTCAAGATGCATAAAGATCAAAACTTAAGAAAAACTAAAGAAAAAAGAAATTATATTCATAGAGTGGAGATAAAACATGAGAGTTTGAGTGGAAATTGCATCAGGGGGAACACAATTGGTTTCTTCACAACATTTGATAACCTGAGACTCTTAATTGAATCACACCACTACACAAAACCAAAGACATGAAAATGTGTAATTTTTGCAAGCGATTCCCAATAGAAGGCTACTCTACCAGCAGAAAACACAGAACATGTGTTTTATCAATTTTGAAGAGCAGGGTGATTTCTGTGATGGCACAAGTCAATTCGTTAATCACATCCGTTAAGTGCCCGCCTTCTATGCAGCTTTGCTCAAATGCTGTGCAACAATTGTCTTTCAGTAATGGTCCGAGAAAGTGATTGTGTCTCAGTGGACTAGAGGAATGTTGCTACATGTAACTAATAATAATAGTGACTTGACAAAATGAATTCCTGCTGATTTAAAAGTATAAATCTTACTTTAAAAAAAACTGAGAAAAGACTACACTTTAAAAAAAAAGTTCTTTAAAAAAGAAAAAGGTTGATTGAAAAGGACAAAACTTGTGAAACTTTGTTGTGTTTAATGAAATTCTGATGATTGTCCATGGAGTGGACAATGTAGGTTTCCAAGGTTGTGCTGTGAATTACTTTCAGGACAGAACTAAAAAACTTTGTCGTCCAGTTGCCATGGATACCAGCTGTTTAACTTCCACCTCACTTGACCTGTCCAAAACCAGAAAGTTTTTGTCTGTTTCATCTTTACTGGACTTGTCTAAAAATGACAAACCCAAACCTGTATCTGGTGTGTCAGAGCTCAGTCATGCCCCTGCCAGTGGAGCTCTGGACCTGTCTAAAACTGACCAGTATCGACACATGTTGAACTTCATCAATAATAAGTCACCAATTACACGGCTTTGTTTTCAGGCTATCCGCTGCACTTTTCCCAATTGTACCTGTGAGTGTTTTTCACCTGGCAAAGTTCACCTCCGTTCCTGTGAAGGCTGCAAACATGGATGGGTAGCACACGGTAGGACTTTTACAAAGATAAATCATTTTTCTCATCTTACATCTCGCAAAAGAGGGTTTCAGTAATCTCTGTTCTAAAACTAAACAAGCAGTTTATTTTTTTTTTCTTGTGTTGTTGTGTTTTTGTATCATTGGTTGACAATAAAGTTTTATCCTATACATTTCTAAATAAATAAATAAATAAATAAATACATGTATATTGAAACCCTCAGCATGAGCTGGTAGTTATATAGTGACATTTTAGAATGATGCATGCATAAAAAAATTAAAATGTCTTGAAAATATATAATTACATACTGTTAATATAAATAAAATAATTATTATTATATTGTGACAATTTGCATGCAAAGTTCAGTAGCCCAAGTTCTTTTCTTGTTTTACTTATAATTTTTTCCATTTATTTATTTTTTGGGGTAAACAAATTGTATTTGGAACATAATACATCATAATATCCAATTTGGATTATGATATTTTCAATTATGAAAATGAGCTTAAAAACAAAATGATTTGATTATATAAAAAATTACTTTTGGGGGCCAACTATAATTTTTCAAAATAAATATGAAATATTTTCAGTGGATATTGCAGTAGATATTAAATATCTTGTCAGTTCTTTAGAAAAAAATGCTAATTAATGCCATTTTATTCCTTGTAAGTTGACTGGCTTTATAACTTTTGAAACGCGATGAAGGGAACATGCAGATTTGGAGTTTCTCTATGGGCATGTTACTATATTTAGAATCAGCCTAATAAGAAATTAAGGTATCAGAAGTAATTTGAATATAAAATCAAATTGAGAGAATATTATTTACATGTGTACTACATGTGTATTACATAAGAGTAGGAAAAGTAACAGACTAATAGTAATAGACTAATAATTTGCAAACATGTGCCAGTGCCTGGTAAGTTAAAAACAAACCAAAGATGTTTTGTTGTTTTCTCATGCAATAATTTCCATGACCTACTTTTTTTTTAATTGTCAAGTATTTGTCTGTGATGTAGTAAATGTTAAACATAAATAAAACCCACACAAATTATCAAGTAAACAATACAGATATTTAATAGTCATGTTTTCCCTATAGTAAATTTTTTAAAAAAAATCAGCTAATGTTATTAGTCTGTATGAAGTACCTACACACAGGTTTAAAAGAAACCTTGAAATGTTATGTCAGAAATAAATTTTAATAAGCATAAACAATATCAGATTTTGATTTTAGGGCTTATTTCCATTATAGTGAAAAAGATGTTTGATGAAGAAAAAAAATCCATATTCATAATTATAGTTTTCTCCCTAAATTAAATAAAATTTATATAGTTACAATCATTGAAGGTTACATGTAATAGCAGCAACTGTAGTTTCCTGGTGATGATTTTACCAATATTTGAAAACAACACACCTTTTGATCCACCACAGCTAAATCTGGGTGGTGACATATGTCCATGAATAATAGATGCAATTTAGTGTAATTTGAAAAATGTTATTTAGAAATCCTAGCACAAAGCAATTGATTTCTCTAAATGAAGTTTCTGTATAAAGGATTTATCAAATCCTACCCTAGGTGACACTCTGATACAGGTAATTCCATATCAAATTCACTCACGTCAATTAATGTTCAGTCACACGCAGACTGCTTCTGTCTGTAATTCAATTAAAAAGATACAATATTCTGTCAATGCAACCTGTAATGACAATTTCATTGAATTTCTGATAAAGATCAGTTATTATGTTCCCCAAACGGAGTTTGGGAACATATTGTTTTTACTCTGTTTCTTATTATTATTATTATTATTATTTTTTTTCTTATTTGTTCTCCGGTACTTTTTTGTCCGCGAGTGTTCTCAGAAACTGTTCACCCAACTGAGCTAAAACCTTTTTAGGGTTAATAGGTGTGTAGTGTAGGTGTGCGGAACGAAGGTCATTTTGCGCGCATACGCATGCACGTGCGTGCGCGTGAAATGAGTGAATTGACTGATATACTTAATATAGCTATAACTTTTACATTTTTTGATGAAATGATTTGAAACTCATTATATAAGGATAGATTAGTAGTGTAGATAATGTGATACTGTCAAATTCGCACGAACTCACGCGCATGCACGTGCGCTTTGCTCTGATTGGCTGAAACAAAAATCTCAATATCTTCTCTGTTTTTTGACGAAATGCTTTGAAATTTAAAACATAGGCATGCTTTAGGATATTCTACAATATGGTATATAAGAATTTTCATCAAATCACGCGCATGCACATGCGCTGCAATCTGATTGGCTGAAACTTTAAATGGCTATAACTCCCGTGTTTTTCAACCAAACAGCACGGGATTTAGAACGTAGACAAACATAATGGACTCCTAGAAGAAGGTATAGTCATCATGAACATACTTGCACGTGCATGAACGTGCGCTTCGCTCTGATTGGCTGAAACAAAAATCTCAATATCTTTTTTGTTTTTTGACGAAATGCTTTGAAATTTAAAACAAAGGCATGCTTTAGGATATCCTACAATATAATATATAGTAATTTTAATCAAGTCACGCGCATGCACGTGCGCTGCAATCTGATTGGCTGAAACTTTAAATGGCTATAACTCCCTTGATTTTCAACCAAACAGGATGGGATTCAGAACATAGATAGATATTATAGACTCCTACAGCAGGGAATGGTCATCATGCACATGCATGCACGTGCGTGCACTTGAAATGAGTAAAATTCCAAATACACTAGATTCAACATATTTTTGGATTAAATGCTGTAATATTTAGTATATTAAAATATATTAATAGTGTAGACAAGATGATATGGTCATTACGCACATGCATTCAAATGCGCATGCGTGCAATGCTTAAATTGAATACTTCTGGTAAAACTTTGTTAAAGTCTTAAATGTATCGCGTTTGTCTTATTTAATCAAGCTTACAGGGAATAAGGCAACAAAAGGGAAATGGGGAGCGTTTGGGGAACATCTGTAACGGTTCCCGTTACAATTAGCACTAGTTATTATTATTATTATTATTTTTCTTCTTCCTGGGAAAATTTTGTCCACGAGTGATCTTGTAAACTACACATCCGACTTAGGTGAAACCTTTTTAGGGTTAGTAGGCATGTTATGTAGAGTTGCCAAACAAAGGTCATTTTGCGCGCACGTGCTTGCAAGAGCGCGCACGTGCATTAGGTGAAATTACCAATATAATGGATATTGCCGTAACTTTTCTATTTTTTGATGAAATTTTTTGAAACTAATAATGTAAGGATACATTAGTAGTGTAGACAAGATAGCATGGTCAAAATAGCAAGATTTCACGCGCATGCACGTGCGCTTTGCTCTGATTGGCTGAAACTAAAGTATCAATAACTTTCTTGTTTCTTGTCATAATCCTTTGAAATTTTGAACATAGTCCTACATTATAATGATCTACCGCATGATATATAAGAATTTCATGAAAGCATGCGCATGTGCGTGTGCTGCAAGCTGATTGGCTGAAACTTTAAATGGCTATATCTCCTTTGTTTTTTGACGAAATTCTTTGAAATTTAAAATATAGTCATACATTGGGATATCCTACAAAATGATATAGAAAAAAAATCATGAAATCACGCACATGCACGTGTGCTGCAATTTGATTGGCTGAAACTTTAAATTGCTATTTCTCCTTTGTTTTTTGACGAAATTCTTTGAAATTTAAAATATAGTCATGCATTAGAATATCCTACAAAATGATATAAAAAAAATCATGAAATTACGCGCATGCACGTGTGCTGCAATCTGATTGGCTGAAACTTTAAATGGCTATAACTCCCTTGTTTTTCAACCAAACAGGATGGGATTTAGAACATGGATAGATGTAAGGGAATCCTACCAGAAGGTATGATCATCATGCACGTGCACGCACGTGCGTGCATTTGAAACGAGTATATCTAATACTACTCTTGAAAGACAAGATGATATGGTCATAACGCACATGCATTCACATGCGCTTGGGTGCAATGCTAAAAATTTAATATAATTGGTATCCTTCTGGAAAAACGTTGTTAAAGTCAAAAATGCACAGAGTTTGTCTTATTTAATGAAGCTTACAGGGAATATGGCACCGAAAGGGAGTTGGGGAGCGTTTGGGGAACATCTGTAACGGTTCCCGTTACAATTAGCACTAGTTACTTTTTTTTTTAAAACTTAACTTTACTCCCTTCCTAGGTTTTGTATCATGGCAGACTTTAAAACTAAAAAAAGAATGAAATAAGTTCTGCCAGTTATTTGTTGTGTCAGTCAAAAAAGAGAATTTCCAATTTAACAGGGAAAGGGATTTTTGTCAAAGTGTAAAGAGATGACGTTTTCAATGCCTGACAAAGGAACATTGACCAGCAATAGAGATGTCTGGTTTGCCAGTTATGCTAATAAAGTTGTGCAGATTAAGTGGCATATACATAGGCTTTTCAATAAGTAAAAACAGAAGATGTCTGCAGGCATTAAGTGTGCCGTTTATGACAATTTAGACCTGGTCCACCATGGGATAAAGAGTAACTCGGGCTAATTAGATTAACCAATCAGAGCTACATGATACACAGTCATCAAAGAATCTCCCGTCACTATTGGTGTCTGTCATGCAAAAAATGAAAAATTATCACAAAATTGGATGCGTCTCCTCCTTAATTAGGGTAAAGGAGGGGAACGACTCCAGCCTAAAGTGATGGAGAGCATAGTTTTTATGAGGATAGGTCCCTCATTGTTCTTTTTTAAAGCCGCAAAAAGTTAAAGGTTAAATGGATATCAGCTATAAAGTTGGTTAAACTAACCCGTCAAAGGCAGTGCCATTAGTGTGTTTTTCATTAAGTTTTACAAGTACCAGTAGCTTGATTCAAAGAGAAAATTTTGTGGCACAATCCTTTTGTCTTTTGAGTACTTGGATACGAAACTTTTAACATTCCTTGACATAGCTATAAAGGACCACTACTCCAGTGTAAAATTCATCATAATTTTTTAGGTCACCTGAGTCACTAAGATATGAT